TTGTGGGACACTCTTGTGGGACACTCTTGTGGGACACTCTTGTGGGACACTCTTGTAGGAAACTCTTGTGGGACACTCTTGTGGGACACTCTTGTGGGGCACTCTTATAGGACACTCTTGTGGGACACTCTTAAGGGGCACTCTTGTGAGACACTCTTGTGGGACACTGTTGCAGGACACTCTTGTGGGACACTCTTACGTGACACTCCTGTAGGACACTCTTGTGGGACACTCTTGTAGGACACTCTTGTGGGACACTCTTGTGGGACACTCTTGTAGCACACTCTTGTAGGACACTCTTGTGGGACACATTTGTGAGACACTCTTGTGGGACACTCTTGTGGGACACTCATACGGGACACTCATACGGGACACTCTTGTAGGACACTCTTGTGGGACACTCTTGTGGGCCACTCTTGCGGGACACTCTTGTAGGAAACTCTTGTGGGACACTCTAAAAGGACACTCTTGTAGGACACTCTTGTGGGACACTCTTGTAGGACACTCTTGTGGGACACTCTTGTAGGAAACTCTTGTGGGACACTCTAAAAGGACACTCTTGTGGGACACTCTTCTAGGACACTCTTGTTGGACACTCTTGTGAGACACTCTTGTGGGACACTGTTGCGGGACACTCTTGTGGGACACTCTTGTGGGACGCTCTTACGGGACACTCTTGTAGGACGCTCTTGTGGGACACTCTTGTAGGACACTCTTGTGGGACACTCTTACGGGACACTCTTGTAGCACGCTCTTGTAGGACACTCTTGCGGCAACCTCACGATTCCCTGCGCACGCCACGAATCTTTCCGCGTCCACACGTCTAAGACGCACAAAGTACTGCGCCTGTCACGAAATGTCCCCTCCGTCGTGCCTCGCCACCTCACGATTCCCTGCGCCTGCCACGTATATCCATCCGCGTCCACACGTCAAAGGCGCACAAAGTACTGCGCCTGTCACGAAATGTCACCTCCGTCACACCTCGCAACCTCACGAGTCCCTGCGCCCGCGAATCTTTCCACATCCACACGTCTAATGCGCACAAGGTACTGCGCCTGTCACGAAATGTCACCTCCGTCACACCACGCAACCTCACGATTCCCTGCGCCCGCCGCGAATCTTTCCACATCCACACGTCTCATGCGCACAAAGTACTGCGCCTGTCACGAAATGTCACCTCCGTCACACCTCGCAACCTCACGAGTCCCTGCGCCCGCGAATCTTTCCACATCCACACGTCTAATGCGCACAAGGTACTGCGCCTGTCACGAAATGTCACCTCCGTCACACCACGCAACCTCACGATTCCCTGCGCCCGCCGCGAATCTTTCCACATCCACACGTCTCATGCGCACAAAGTACTGCGCCTGTCACGAAATGTCACCTCCGTCACACCTCGCAACCTCACGAGTCCCTGCGCCCGCGAATCTTTCCACATCCACACGTCTAATGCGCACAAGGTACTGCGCCTGTCACGAAATGTCACCTCCGTCACACCACGCAACCTCACGATTCCCTGCGCCCGCCGCGAATCTTTCCACATCCACACGTCTCATGCGCACAAAGTACTGCGCCTGTCACGAAATGTCACCTCCGTCACACCTCGCAACCTCACGAGTCCCTGCGCCCGCGAATCTTTCCACATCCACA